GTATGTGTATATTTAGTCAAAGTTAAAAAAATTTGACTTAGAATGACAGTCTTTATAGATAGAAGAAATAGGGTTCTATAGACACATACTCCGATCCTTATGTTCGGAAAAACTATAATTCTACATACTCAAACTATCTTAAGTTTGACTATTTTTTTATGAAAAAATAATATCTACAACTTTAAATAGATAGTACTATGTAAATATATTTGATGACAAATTAGTATGATGAGTATTTGACTTCACACTACTCTAAAATTACATTTTACTATAATGAAATTTCAGAAATAGTAGCTAGTTCTGTTGAGTGGCGGCATCAACGGAAGTCCACTTGGAGTCATGGATGTTTGAATAGCGTGTCCACGTAAAAATGCTGTGGATGCTACGAGTTCCCTCCTAGGCACGTAATTCTAGCCCTAGGAGCTGATGTGCTGGGGATGAAATGTAACATGCATGCATGACAGCAATAGTGTATCCTTCATCTGGAATGATCTGAATCTGATGACGTCGCCGGTACGTTCGCTGCTCGCGTCATCATGAGTCATGCACACAGCGATGCGATGCGATGCTATGCTATGCTAGCTCGAAAGGTACTGTGGTGTGGTGGTGTGTGTGCATGTACGGTGTACCTGGAAGGCTGCAGCTAGGAGAAAGGGAGGCCGCCCCCACGCGAAACAAGCGGCACAAATACAATAGGGGCGCTTGTGGTTGCCGTGACCAAGTTGGCCGGCCAGGCTCCACAGATGCAAGCGAGCGCTGTTTGGTTGCCTGTGCTTGGCCACGGACCTGGCCCGGCGCAGCGCGCGTATATGGTACGCGTGTGAGATGGAGCGTGCTCGAGGCGGAAGGAAAGCAGGCCAACCAATCAACTGAGGCTGCATGCGGGCGCTTGCATTTGCATTCAACGCGAAACCAAACAACCGAGGCTGCATGCAACTAGCCTGGCTGCCGAGAGACGAGAAACCAAACGCGCCCTAGGCAGTTCATCGCTTTGTACCGTTCTAAATTATAAGTTTTCTTTGACTTTTTTAGTTCATCTATTTTGCTATATATCTGAACATATTATTTATCTAGATGCATAACAAAATAGATATAAAAAAAATTACAGCGACTTATAATTTAGAAAATAGTGAGACTAGTGTATTAACAAACATGCTTATATGCTGCACTTAATAGTCTTGTAATCAGACTCTCTATATTATAATCACTGAACGTGAGTTGCTTTTAACACATATGAGTTATGAGTCTACATAACATACGGTATACCAAAGATGCAGACGCAATCTAAGAAGAAGCGGGATAGAAAAAACCCTTCGTTTTATTAGTAGATATAGATGTACATTTAGACCCCTATTTGGCAGTGCTCCTAGAGTTGATTCTCTGTTGAATTCAGCAGGAGCTCTGCCAAATAGTTTGTTTAGAGAGAAGTGATTCTCTGTTGATTACGTGAAATGATTCTCTAAAATGAACTAAGAGGATGAGAGCTGAAAAAGAGAGTAGATTCTTCTGATTCTGTGAAGTGATTCTCTATCGTGATTTTGAGAGTTTATGCGAAAGAATCAAAGAGAATCACTTTCATCCAGAGAATCACTTCTTGCAGAGAATCAGCTTTTATAGAGAATCAAAATCAGATGAAGCTCTGCTAAACAGATCCTTATATATACATATAGATATAGATATGTATTATTTTTATGGTCCACATGCGTATGCTGGCGTATGTGTTAGGCTGACAGCCACAGCCACGGCCACGGATCTCAAAAGAAAACGCGCGCAGCTACAACGAACTAAACCAGATGATGTTGCATCTTGTGATTCGTGGTCGTGGGTGGTATCTATTCCCAAGGCTCAATCGTTTTCCCACGTGCAAGTGGTTCCTCCTGTGGCACTATACAGCATCTATATATTTATTCCCATGCATATATAGCAGCCCGTGCTTTCCAAAATTTACTGCCTATAAAACATCAATTTGTTTTGAAACAACACAATATGATTCCTTTACAGAACCATTGTTAATCCATGAATATAAGAAATCTTTATTATGTATATATTGTAGCATATCGAGCTGCAAGCTTTATAATAAGATCCTATTGAAGCCTAATTGAGCTGTAAATTGCTGCACTTTTGTACTCCATCCGTCCTGTAATATAGTGTATTCTAGCGTTCAAAATTTATCCTTAAATATAATGCATTCTAAGGACAAAAATCAATTTTACATTAAATACTTTTTATTTATCAACCAATCACCATTAATCACGTTGATGATAGCGTCTGATTAGAAAATTAAATAAGGGTATATACATATTTTATGTTTTCTCTTAATTTGTCTTAAAATTCTTAGAATGCACTATATTACAGGACAAATGGAGTATGCAGTAAAAAAACACTTTACTGCTGATAAGGAAAGGTTGATCTTTGTGCACCTTGTTATTCTACTATTGTCCACTACCTTTTTATTTGTGCATGTGTCAATAATATAATCTTTACATGTTTGTGCGCTAACAGCTGGCTTCATAGTGGAAATCTTAAGTGCCATCACATCTTATAGGGGCAATAACAAAGATATCAAACCTTTGCAATTCCGTTTTTGAGTAATGGATTTTTTTTCTTTAGTTATTCTTATGCACCAAGAATAAGGCTCCAAAGCCTCTAGAGTCTAGATCGATGTAGGTGAAGGTATCAACTTTTTTAGGCATCTTCGTGAAAGCTGTAAATAAAGTCGTGAAGGCATATATATGGTGAAAAGTAACTATGTTATACCATCTCGTTTTCTAAAGTTTGGTCACATTAAGTCACCAATATACCTCTATTTTTTCTATTTTCTTTTTACAATGAACGACATAGGACGTGTTTGATCAAGTTTATGCATTTATATCTCCAAAAAGGTTTCACATGCAATTATATTTCATAATTAATCTAATGATACTTATTCGGTGGTATAAATGTTAATATATTTTTATAGATTTGATTAAACTTGAATACATTTAAAATCTCAGAAAAGTGAGAATTTTTGAGACGTAGGGAGTACAACACAGGACTGGTATGTATATACATAGAGAGAGATGAGTTGGAACGTATCCCGTATCCTTGGGTTTCGAGTTTAGACCACATGGCCACATGGGCACAGATGTGGTGCGGAAGGGTCTTCGTTCAACAGAGAAGAGAAGGAAATCTGCACCATCGCTGCGATTCAGTAGCCTACGTTTACTTGAGTGCCAGCCACAGAACCGGCGAGTCTGCTGTCTCGTGTCCCAAGTCCCAGCACAGTTAGGACGGCACTCGCACCAGTCGGTCTTGGTCCAAGTCAATGTCCCTCGGATTGTCTCCGAGTGACCGCACCCAAACCCAAAATTCGTAGCAAGAGGTTTAAAATCAGCCTCCAGCAGAGTACCTATACGTAAGACCTATTTTGGGTTGTCTGAGAGGCACAACCCAAACATGAGCATCCTCTCTCCTGTAAACCCATTTGCAGAAATAATTCTCCTTTGAGTCCTGTTGTTGGAGAAGATACCCAATAAATATTGAATCATTTACCTGTAGCGCTACCGAAGGACGAATGAGACTTATATTTTGGGTGTTGCTTGAGGACCTGAGCATCAAACACGCAGGTGATATACAGTAGGTAGGTAGGTCCAAGTCAATGTCTACGTGTGGATGGCACTGGTTCCCTGGTGGCAAGGTAATTTGCACAGCACTGGCCGATGCACTGTAGGCATGGAGCCATGGAGGAGCACTGTGTCTCGGCGACAGACAGCACAGCAGCTCGTGCATCCAGCCCGTGTGTGTCGCCAGTCGATCCGACGACGACGGAGCACTAAGAAAGGAGGCCGGAGCGAAGCGTACGCAACGCCGGTGGTTGCGCGCGCACGTCAGGAACCGCCGCTGGCTAGCCTGCGGGCGTCGCCGTCGCGACGACGGGCTGATGGCGACGGCGACGCTGCCTGAAAAGGCGGCACACAAGTGGAGCCGCCCACGCGAAACAGACGCGTGAAAATGCAAATATGCAATGCAAGGTGCAAAGGTGTGCTGTTTTGGCTTGGTGTGCTTTAGTGTGTGCGATGCAGATCGGCAGGACCAGGACCCATCCAGCAGAAAAGGCTACTTGAAACCTGGCCCAGATGTTTCGATGCATCGCACTTGCATGGGTTCGTGCACGCAGCAGCACCATCATCCTTTTCCCACGTGTAAGCGCGTAACTAGCTAGTGCACGGTATCACTGATCAGTGATCACTATGCTATCCATACACCGAAATAAAAGGCAGGAACAGCAACATATACAAACTGTGGCCACCAGTCCAAAACACACACGGGTTAAATCGTTACCAGACTCCGGAGAGTTCACTCACAAATTGCCACCATCACACGCGCCAAAAATTAAAAAGCATCAACTTGCAATGTCAAAGCATGGCCACTAGCTTGCGTACCTACCTGCACACAGAGTTCCTCATCCACAAGCGAGAGATTCCGCACGCACTCCTGTTCCCCGTCTGACGAGAGATGAGCGAATGAAAGGACCTCATCAGACTTGCTGCCGCACCAGTTGATATACTCGGGCAGTCGGGAAGGGTTGGCAAATATTGTCGCTCCCAGAAAAAGGTACAGAGCGGACTTTGTGGAGAGAACGGTCATCATCACGACGATCTAATCTAAGGACCACAGTACAATGTGGACGAGATTAAGCCACTTCCAAGCTGTAGCGTGCAAACAAGCTCCAACTTTGCGGCGTTGCAGGCGGCTCTGCCGTATTGCTGATGCGGGATCAGTAGGGTGCATTGTCTTGCAGTCCACACTTATCCAGTTATCCTCTTGTGCATTGAGATGTTAGCACACAGCCACAGCGCGAAATCGATGCCACTGTGGCCATGTCAGCTTGTGGTTTTACACGGTTAACACACGCCTCGTGGTTTCTGTTTATGTACTTGTGCCTTTGCTAATTAACCATGTTAGTGCCTAACCTGTCTTCAACTTGCAACAGAAGTCCACACAAGAGATGATGTCTTCTGCTATTGATCCTCTGTGTCGAAGATCTCTTCGGATTCCATCGGAGACGACCAGTAGTGCAAAAGGGATTCCACGGTGAGACGTCGTGTGGCACTCAACATTGAGATGAAGAAGCGGCAGCCATCGATCTTGTATTCTTCCAGAGGATTTTTGTGTCCAAAACTCCGAACGTTCACCTAGCAAAAAGGTTTAAAATCCAGTCAACACCACAGTATTCAGAATAAGACATCAGCAGACAATTAAAGCACGGACAACATTCTTTCATCTACAGTATTTCCTTTTTTATTTAGCTTGAAGAACATGTTCTCGAAAAAGAAGAGCAGATGTCAATATTTCAAAAGCAAAACATCTCAAGGCATGACTTACAGCAGAACTAAGCTTGTTCATGTTTACCAAATGGTCTTTCCATAACGTATCAAGAGTCTTCAAAAGTACTTCCCGCTGCAATTGAACAGAGATAAATATGTTTATAAATAAATCAAATATGCTACATACAAGAAAGTGTTGATATTGACCAAATTTACAGAGTTGATGTTTAAACAATCAATAAGATTTCATGTAGGGGAAAACATAATTTCCTCCAGAGTCCACAAAAACATGGATATTGCTTGGGTAGGGTTTATGACCAGACAAACTTTGTGAACAAATTCAAAAGAGAATCGTACCTCGATTCCACTTATATATCCATCATCGTAACGGGACTCTTGAACAGCATTCAAGTAGGTAGCTATTAGAAAATCCCCAAAATATTTCCTGAGCAGATTAGCAGTGTTTGTATATCTCCCTTTCCTGTATTGTTTATCAAAAAGAAGCAACATATAAACTTTCAAATCAATAACTATTGTTCTGAATGCTATATTGTGCCATATATATAGGTGTATCATATCACAACATACTTTGATGTATCATCAACACAAATGGCAAACCACCGCATTATAGAAGATGTTTTCTTTCGAATTCCTCTAAGTGAATCGGGCGGCATCGGCATGTTTGGAAGAGCAAAACTATCAGCCTTAACTGGGCCCCAACCTTGCATTTCCTCAAGTGCTGATTGTAGGTTTTGCCCTTGGATGTCCTTGAATGTTTCTGCAGAGCATCTCAGAAATCAGAATACCCATTATAGAATAACATGAACTAAAAATAATTTGGATATATTACCACTCAGTAGTTTTCCGCCTAGACCAACAAATTCATCCAAAAGCTTTACCAGATTCCATGCCTTGGGTGGCTGAAAGAAATATATAATTTTGACAACTGACATGGCACTGAAAATAAATGCTTTCAAAAATGAACTTAAGGATCAGGACAGAGCAAGTACCTTTTGGGGATCAACATTTAGCAAAACAATTTCATCAGCTACCGCTTGCATGTACCTAATAAAATTTCAATTAAAGGCTTGTCAATGAAAAATAAAATAAAATAAAATAGCAGCATTTTGAACAAAACAGTGACTACATATAATGATTTAAGTAAGAGCCAAACATCGTTTTGGAAAGGTGTGTTGACAAAGTGAGGAAAAACAATGACTTTAAAGTAAGATGGATTATTAATTCTTTCTACACCACATTTTTTATTCAAAAGAATATGCTTTATAGCTCTACCATTTCATAAACAACATTGAAAAGCTTCATGCGAGAGGCAATAGTTAACTTACTGGAAAATTTGTTCACTGCAGCTTTCAGAGTCACCAGATAATATCACCTGCCTAAGGTTGTATACATGCTTTCTTTGGACCTATCAAAGGTATGAACAAAATAATCCACATGAATATTTGTGATGCTACTAGAAACTGAAAGGCATTCACAATCATTTCTACTGTGAATACCTTTTTACTATAATTTCTATTGCCAATCCTCATGAATACAAGTTTTCCAAATGAGACCAAATTTGGAAAGCTAGTACTAATAATTAAACTAACAAGGGTTAGTGAAGACCCTTAGGGGCACCAATTTGCACTCCTACAACAAGATCTGTCAATCATGATTTGAAGAGAAAAGGATAACAAGAGTAAAAATGGGTATTCACAATAGAAATGATAGAAAAAGAAGAGTGCCTGTTAAAAAAAGGAGATTGCTACCTGAGGTATTCATGCAAGTGAATAACAAAAAGTCATACTACAGAATACAAGTACTGGAAATTGGAGCAGTTGCATACCTCCAGGACTTCATCGAACTCAACAAGACTTTTCCTTATTCCAAAATAATATTTCTCTGCGTTGATTTGAAGGCCTAGAAGCTGCATTTTGAAGACTCGATGAACGTAAGCAAGATTATCACTGTGATGCCACCAACCATAGGATGCTTGAATATGGCGTTGTAATAAAATACAAATCTGACCTGCTTCACAACAACATTGCTCTCGATAGCTATGTCTTCGTCATTCGTTATCCTTGATATTAGCCTCACAGCCCATTCAGTGTCCAGATTAAATTTCTGGAATATATCATCTTGTAAGCTGAGTACAAAAAGTTAGACACTGTCAAATTCATTAAGCATATATTATTATCAGATCATTTTAGAAGTTACAGAAGTTTAGCAGGCTAAAGTATTTATGTTGGGGAACAAACATACCTCACCATAAACCGTGTCGACCCAGGATCACCCTGTCTGCCTGCTCTGCCACGCAGCTGGGAAAAACAAAGCTTGCCGGTTTAATTGTACAGTGGTAGCAAACAAGAGCATCAAAATCAAGAAAGCCTTTTGTCACAAGCAGGATGAGATAGGCTAGAAATGAAACCCAACAAGATCACAAAAAGATGATATAATACATACATGAAATTGGGCAAGGAAACATTACTTTAGCTAGAATTAATATGTTCCAACTTCTAAATATGCTTTTTAATAAATTAGTACATGATTATTTGAAAGGACTCAGATAGATTAGTCTGAGGGAACAGAAAATAACATAAAAATTCATTAATATAAAAAATACATTTACTAAAAAGAATAATGCATAACAACATATGAAGACAGAATTTCTACAGGTTCTTTTTTTGACACTGCTAGTTAATACTGCATCAGTGCATTGATGCGTGCAGTGTAAGATAATGAAAGCTGCTGCTGATGGATAAGAAATCTATTTTAATCCAGAATCATAGGGCTATATATTATATATGATATAAAGGGCTAAGCAGCATGCAAAGGCTCAGGTGCTTCCTGCCAGATCAGCATCTTACTTGGTTATCAATTCGGCGTGACTCATGCAAAGAAGTTCCTACTACATGGAGCCCACCTAATCTCTTCACTGCAGCACCTTCAGCAGAACAATGAATTTCACAATCCCTTAAAACACTGAGATAAGCAAGTCCTATTGCATCACAAAGAGGGTACATCTCAGACTCTTCAGTCATGCGCTCTTGCAGTTTCTCCATTCCAATCATTTGACCCATTTCTATAGATTCAGCAATAGTGGATTTTGCCTTACTAAGAGACCATTCATTTCTCTCGCTTTTGTGAATATATTTTGCTGGAAGCATATGTGAAAAGAGTGAAAGAGTTAGCCAAACAACACAAAGATAAGTCATTATATGTTAATATACAACCATTAATACTCAAGTACTTACACATGATTGCAGCTTTGGCAAGCAGACCTACTGATGATGGACCAAGTTCTATATTTGAGAGACCCTGCCCATGATAAAAGGAAATAGTGAGAAACACCCTGCAAAGTTCTTGGGGTCAGAGAAAAGGATCTGAATGAACCACCTTGTGGGATGTGGATTCCCCTTCCATGTCAATATCAGGAGGTTCATGGGTCAAAAATGGAAGTATGTTATCTTCTACTATTTCTTTTGCAAGCATCTGGCAATGAAAAGATGGACCATATTTCTGTTAGGTGTGAACAACTAAAATACTAACAATGCTGCTATCTGTTTTGACTTTTTGTACATTTTCAAAAAAGAGTCTTGGTGAGCAGTGCTAAACATATGCATGAACTTACTTTTGGATTACCACCTAAAATAATGTCAGTTCCTCTGCCTGCCATATTAGTTGAAATTGTAATAGCATGTTTTCTTCCAGCTTGGGCAATTATTTCGGCTTCTCTTGCAGCATACTGTCAGGAATAATGCAATTAGCTTTATCAATGGAAAAGAACAAGACAAGAAGTTAAACTAAAGCAAACATTTTACAAACCTTTGGTCTTGCATTAAGGACATTGTGTGGAATATTGCGAACTTTAAGTAGCTCTGACAAGTATTCAGAACTCTCGACACTGCAAAAGATATAGACACCATTTGTTTAGACAGCTGTATGAAAAGCATCCCAAGACGGTAAAGGGCATACCCAATGCTGAAAGCTCCCACACAAGGTGAGGTTTGGGGAAGGTAATTTCTAGGCAGCCCTACCTTTAATTATTATGCAAGGAGGAGGAATCCAGCCCACACAAGGTGAGCTTTATATCCAGAACTGCACATGCAAAATATGGAACTACAGTGGTCATCCTCATTACCCCTTTCTCTCACTTCACTAGTTGGGTCATGATAACAATAAGCCACCCTTACATCTTTATGAACAGGTTTTCATCCTATGAAAAGATCTCTAAACCAAATTTTATCTCCTAGCATCTTACAACCAAAATAAACATATCAAAATCTTATCTTCAGTAGTTTATCTATTTTTTAAAAAACAGAAACAGACAGGTATCTTGGAGCTGTCGCTACTATGCAACTGCAAATAACATGGTCATGATTACTGCCCTGCCCCTTTAAATTTGGAGGTTTTCTCCAAAGTAAATAAGGGTGCATTCCCACAAATCAATACCCAAATTTACTTCTTTATTTTCTAATAAACAGGTGTCAAGGGACAAAGGCAGTAGTAAAACTAATTTTTTCTGCTTTCTCAGTTCACTTCATTTTCGCTAATGCAAAGGAGGAACTAGCTAATTTACTTTGTCAGCATCCATCTAAAGGTAATGTTGCTAAAAACCAAATTCCCAGCAGCATAAAATCACAAACAACAATGAATGGAGATAAAAGTGTTGAAGAAACCTAATTAGTAAGTTTTTTCTTGCCCACAGTGATAACAAGCAAATTTGAATTTGCTAAAAAAACATATTTGAACACAACAAACCTTTTGTACTTTTCAGTTTCATTAGCTCCTGAAGTACTACAAATCATAATAGACGAAAAAAAATATCTAATACTAATAATCTCATACTGATACAACCAAATTTTCCAGTAGGCATGGAGGCGTATTATATGGTGGTGATGAGATAAAATCTGTATTAACTACTAAAACAAAAAATAGAATTCACCTTGTAGTTCCAACTAAAACAGGGCGGCCTAATTGGAACATAGACTCTACTTCAGCCCGTACATATTGCCATTTGCCTCTTGCAGTCTACGAAAGCAACAAAATCAATCAAATTTTTTCTAGTACCAAAGGGAGGAACCACTTCCTCAAGACTCACCGCAAAAGCTTGGATAGGCAAGTCCACCCGTATATTTGGCAGATTCGTAGGTACTTCAATAACAGGCATCTTGAACATCTTTAAAAACTCCTTTTCCTGTAAAAGCAGCATTATCCTGTCAGCTTGGAATAATAAACTGTACAGATGAATAGATTATTCAGAAAGCAACCTAATAAACACCATACCTCTGTCTTAGCAGTTCCTGTCATCCCAGAAAGCTTAGGATAAAGCTTAAACAGTGACTGATATGTGATTTGAGCCACAATTACTGAATCTGCCTGATTAAATTGCAATTAGCATTGCACACCAGAAACTGTCATAAACTTTCAGAAAATTATAAAAATAGTAGCTCCATCAATGTAAAGTGGCAATGTGTAAGTCAATAATGACCTGGATTTTTAGGCCTTCTTTTGCTTCTACTGCTTGGTGGATACCATCAGACCATCTTCTTTTGGGTTCAACTCGGCCAGTTAGCTGGAAAAGAATTAATATTATCATACAACCACAGGATTTCCAAAGCATGCAATTGTTATGAACTAATAGGCAACGTGAATTATATTATCAAGAGATGAAGAGAACATAACAGATATATGATAGACGTCAATCAAAGTTCACACATGTGATGAAAAGAAATGTTCTGATGTTATGTTACCAAAAAAAAAAAAACAGTGCATGTGCTGAAGAACATTCAGCCAACTTGAAGGATCGCTGGATCAGTATGGATGAATGTTATCTTAGGACGTTAGGTACACAGAAATTTTTTTTCAAAGCATAAAAAGATTCCAAGACATAATTGATAAAAGCATGATAAGAAAAAGAGTTAATCAGAAAACAGAACTTTCAATAAGTCATGAATGGCTTGTTCATGCAAAAACTGATCACAAGCTATTAGTGTGCATGGACATTTTCATTGGCACATCACACAAAACATCATCATCGATCAGTATTCGTTACATTGTGCTTGTTAAATTGCATGTGTTGTCATAGAAACCTTTTGCTACCAACTGCTCAGTTGCCCAGGATTATGAAAATGAAAGAGCCTCTACGACAGAATACCAGCTCCAGGATGGACTTGATAGCTAGTGGATACATACTAGGAAGAGAACTGTGTCCTGACGTTTTACTTCATTTTTTTTGTATAGGATAGTCCAAAGATATTTTCTCTGGTGTATTGCCAGTTACATGGGACCGCTAAAAGCTGATTGGATAGGATGATATTGGTTCCGATTTTTATCTAAATGAAAAAACCGTGTGGACAAAATGTATCATCATTGAGAAGAAATCTGGTATCCCAGTAAACATTTATAACTTTCTTTAAAAAAAAAACATTAATGAGCTTCCATGAGCATTTAAAGTGTAATTCAGTAAAGTGCCAATATCCCTTCCAAAAACTCAAATAGGCAGATATACAAGTGCATATGTGTGTGTACATATGCAAAGGCTCTCTTGCACAAGCTGCCAAGTACAACTAGGAACATATACAAATACGAACAGCTACTAAGAAACTAATGGCATTCTTTTCAGAAATACTGAAACTCAGAGAGTACCTCATTAATTATAATAGCTTTCCCATCCCTGACAATATACTGGACATCCCTTCGGTAGAACACTTTTGCTTTCAAAGCATTCATCACAAACCTGCAGCATTTGAGAAGTTATGGTTATTCACTAGGCATTGAATGTCCCAACTTGCATTTAAGTTAGTTGCCCCCATCGTGTGATGCCATTATTTATCATTTTGATTCAGCAGCTAACTGCAACGATGGCAAAGAAGGTGCACAATGATCTGACTTAAGGCTGACACAGAAGAATTGTAACATGTCTGATTCACTTCGTTGCTTGCACACATACGTATATCCTATAGCAGAAGGCATATGCAAAATAGCATTTCAATAGCAAAATTGGCTAATTGATCCAAAGCTGCACATAGGGAAATGATTGTAATCACACAAAAAGGTACATATTACATAAAAAACAAATAGAGAACAGCACCTTGCCCACGGATCATTCTCATCCCATAGATCATCTGTCCCAAGAATAATCTCAGCATGTGCTACACCTTCCTCTGTCAGATCTATATTATTGCCTTTTAGTTCGATGGTGTAATGCTGCAGAAATAAATCAACATAGACAAACATTTGAAGGAACTAATATTGGAACTGTGAACTATTGTAGTATGTAGTTTCTAGCAATAACAAAATACTCACAACACCCTCCATAAGAAGTTCTGCGACTTTAGCAGCAACTGGATACCGAGCTGCATCTCTATTATCCTAGTGAAATGACATAAAAACGGTGGAGTATGTCACATTTCACAGGTCAAGAAACTCAAACGGCATTGAAGGAATCAGGTTCAAGAAGTACTGAGTGATTAAACCTCTCCACTTATTAATAATGGATTCCTCCCCTCATCTATAAGTACTGAGTCCACTTCATCCACAATAGCAAAATGGAATGGCCTTGGCCTATCAAATCATGCAGTAATAATTAGAAAAAAGAGCAAATATAGAGACATCACATTTTTGCGAAGTGAGAGTGAAAACAGTCTCAAATGTACCATCTCATAACAAGTTGTTCTTTGTTTCGAGATAGGTTGTCACGAAGATAGTCAAATCCAAGTTCCTGCAGGGGATGTGCAGCTTTTGAGAACTATGATATAATGAGAATTCCAGATCTCAACTCATACTAACAGATAACTAAGATGGCAAGTAAAGTCCTCATTGACCGGACATGATTGTTTATCCCAAGTTAGCATTTCACCATAGCAAGGTCATACAAAATTACCACCAGAAAAGGTTGTCCCTCTAAGCTGGATAACCACGAGATAAGATTAAAAAAGAGCTGTTTTTTTTACTGAGCATCTCACCGAGTTGTTAGTGTATGTAATGTCACATCTGTAGCTGGCTCTTCTCTCATCTGACTTCATACCCGCCTATGCATATGCCATATATACAAAAGAAGAGCAAAAGATGGTTATATGTTTGCCTGTTCTGCTAATTCAACAAACTACTGTAGCAACGTCAGGTGTTTCCAAACTGTAAGAAGGTGATCTGGAATGTGAAACACTGTTATTAAAGCCTTATTTATCATAATGTATATACCTGAACCAGACCAACAGTAAGACCGAGAAAGCGATGAACACGGCCCATCCATTCAGCATCACGCTGCGCCAAATAATCATTTACAGTCACCACTGAAAAAAGGATCACAGTGCTTAATTGTGAAATAGGGAAGATAGACATTGAGAGCTAACTAGAGCATAACCTAACACTAGATGTGCAATGCAGGTCAGATCGTATATTTGCTTGACCAACAAGCATGGATTTCATGGTAACTGCAACTGCAATCACTTCGAATTTAATCATGTTTAAACAACAGTGGTACTGCAATGTTTAAACAAGTTTTAATCAATCTATCTCTTAAAAGCATCAAAAGCAGTAGAATAACATGCACAAGATCACTCATGTGTGTTAAAGAAACAGAATATCAATATGCACTTCAGCAAAATAGAACCATTCCCTCATCATATACAAACCAAACCACTTCCACTGACCCAGCTTGGGCTTCTGATCCCACTATGCTAGGTTGGCCTTGCAAAGACAACTAATTACCAAGCACACAACCTAAAATTTGCTTGAAAGTTAAGCTCATATTAAAAAAGGGGCGTACACAGTGCAGAGAGCTCCCGCTCTGTGCGGGGTCTGGGGAAGGGTGTCAGTGGCAAGCCTTACCCTCGCCTGTGCAATGCGAGGAGACCGCGACTCGAACCCGGGACCTTCCGGTCACAGGCGGTAAGACTCTACCGCTTGCACCAGGCCCGCCCTTCTAAAGTTAAGCTCATATTGACTTGACAAATAACTGAGATGCACAATAGTGCACTATCTTCAGCTGTCCAACTGAACCACTACAGAGGACATATGCGAAGCTAGGATCATGCATTAAATTGATCAGTATTCAATGGAGTGGAACCACCTAAGTCAGATAGGTTTACAGGACGAATTTAAAAGATGAGATTTCATACAGTACCATGAACCCCTTCCCCTGTAAGCGCATTGAGATAAGCTGCAAGTGTGGAAACAAGCGTCTTCCCCTCGCCTGTCTTCATCTCTGCAATGCAGCCGTCGTTGAGCACAGCACCACCAATTATCTGCACGAATTGCACCAACGAAACAAAACTCAATCACGAGAACCAACTCGTGCCTTAACATTCCAACCATGCGGACAAACATGGGTACCTGGACGTCGAAATGCCGCATCCCAAGCGTCCTCCTAGCCGCCTCGCGTACCACGGCAAACGCCTCTGGAGTGGACAGACACGGAGAGACGCATCAGCACATCAGACAACTAGCAACCAACCCAAACTCTCGAAGGAAACGGTGCAGCTCGGCAATGGCAGTAAGAGCAGCAGACGCACCGCCCTGGACGTCGGCGAGTGTCTCCCCGCGCGTTAGGCGGTCGCGGAACTCCGCCGTCTTCGCCTTCAACTGCACGCAAACGCGCACATTGTTTGTCCACGTCAGCCACACCGAGCAAAGTAGAACCATTAGCAAACAAGCTGAATCGATGAACCACTCGCTGAGATGGGGAGGGGAGGGTGTTAGTTCCGCACGCCACCTGTTCGTCCGAGAGCCTCCGAAGCGCCGGCTCGAGCGCGCCGACGGAGTCGACGAGGCGGCGGTAGTCCCGCACCACCCAGGCGTTGAGGCTGCACAGGTCCCTCCATGACCCAGCCGACTTCGACGCGGGGGCGGGGGGCGGGGCCGGGGCGAGCGAGTGGTTGTGGTCGCGCAGGAGAGAGGAGGCGGCTTTTTTGGTCTGGGGGTGGGGCTAGCTCGTGTTGTGGGCTTGGTGCTTCGCCTGCGCAGGAGGCGAGGGGCCGGGGTTGAGGTGGGAGTGGGAACGAGAGAGGCGGAGGCGGTGGAGAGAGAGCTGCCGGCGGAGGCGGCGGCCATGGGAGTCGCCCAGTTAGGATGAGAAGAACAGGGAAAGGGAGGAGAGGGTGTGGAGGAGGAGATTACTTACACGTGGGACATGCTCTGTAACTGACAAGTTGACCCCACATGGCAGGGAGGCTGTGCGGCAGGATAGGTTGGGGAATAGCTTTGCGACCATAGAGGATCGTTGTTTTTTGATCGGTACTATTGCAATTTTACAAGTTTGGAAAAATAACATTACTATTTGTCTATTTGATCGGTACTATTGCAGCAACGGGCTTTGCAGATCCGGCACTAGGGCAGCCGAATCCGGACCCGGGCTGCCGCTGCCGTCGCCGGCGACCCTGCCGTGCCCCATGCGGCCGCACGCGAGCAGGGCGCCGCCTTCCACCGCTTGCATCACGAAGGAGCGCCCCGCCGTCCTCCCGGCAGCCCGCGCGGCCATGCCGGCGGCCTGCTCCAGCGGCGGCGCGACAGGAGAGGTGTAGAGAAGGGGGAGCGGATGGGGTCTGGGTCGCCGCCCGGGTCACTCGTGTGGGAGCGACGCGGGGGCCTTCATTTGACACATCACTACCTATCTGACACTTGAAGACAACTTTAGAGCTGGGAATGAATTTCACTCTTTTAGCAAGGAATGAATACACAATCCCGAGGACTTTGCGTGGGAGATCAGGAGAGAAATCATCGACTCATGACCCTTGGCCTTGAGCGATGGGACGGGGAAGTAAAAAGTCTATTTTAACTTTAGTATCACACATTATACCCCTAATAACTATCAAAACCATTTAAATTATTTCATGCCCGGGCTTTCAAAGTGTTTTTATCTTGTTTTATTAGAAAATCCAGAATAAACTAATGAAGTTTTTAATATACTAAAAATGTCTATACAGATAGATTGAGACACAACAAATCCAAATATAATATTTGATGCTCATGAAACTTTCTTTAGAAGCTTCTAAAGTTTATATTCATCTCTACGAAAAATGGGAAAATAACCACAAAATTTGGAAAAAAATCCAAAACATCATAATTGATATAAAATCATGTTTTGAAATTTTGCATAAAAAATACAAGATGCAACAATCATGTATATTGAAAGAATTTATGTTGTTTTCCTCTCATGTTTTATTTTGTAAAGTTTTCAAAATAAGTTTGAACATCAATTAGCATGTTTCAAGAAACTTTCATATTTTTTTGGATATTTTCTCATTTTTCTATAGCTATAAATCTAATTTTAGAAGCTTCTATAGATATTTTTACTACAACTAAATATTTGATTTATATTTGTCATTTTCCAATCTATCACTAGGATTTTTTTTTCAGAATTTAGAAGCTTGGAGACATTTTTCATGATTCAAAAATCTTATTAAGTATATTGCCAAATTTTCCAATTTTTGAAAAGAACATACAAATTGCCAGGTTTTGAACAATGTTGCAGTCTAAAGATACGTATTCAGCCCTTAAAATGTCATAGGAGTAGCCTTTTAGGATCAAATCAATAATAAACAAATTGCTGGTGGTTGAAACTTACACATCAGAAATCATCGCCAAATAAAAAGGTTATGTTCTGCAAAACGGGAAGTAAAGACTCTGACGAGCTTATTACAGACCTGGAAGATGCCTCACTCATAAAGGACATCAAGCCAATCTATTCCAGAGTCCAGACCAGAGACAAGAAAACCCAAAGCGAGCACTCTCTGATCTCTGCACCAGGCACACATTTTGTTTTTAGATCAACACCAGGCACAAACGACATGACGGAACAATTAAAATCACCAACAGTGTTTGCGCATACAGAACTGACAAACACTTCCCTTGCTGACGCCTGATGGGCGGATGTCCTGTGCTTCCTCTATCGATAGCTTAATACATGTTCATTAACCGCTGAACTGATGAATCACCAAAGGTCCAAAGCAGAGCAACAAAAGCGAGCAGCAACCTGAGGAAATGAAACGGACGAGGCATTTTAAGAGCCACGGTTGTGTTCCGGCTGGTCCAATAAACAAGAAGCAGTGTAAAAACCATACCTTGCACGTGAACTCCTGAAATAGTATCCAAGCCTTCAGCCAGTGAATGCATTTCCTTCTCTGGTTACAATTCTTCGCCAAAAGTTTTCCCCAGTTACACTAAAACGTACCCTTCTAATGTGGCTAATCTTCATTAGCTCTTCCTTGCATTCATTTGCTTCACCTTCCTGCCGAAGGATCTTTATAAGCTCATCAGCAGCATCTTCCAAACATAATTCATCGAGCGTTGAAAGGTCCTTAATGCCACGAGGGAGGCGCTTCATTTCTGGGCACCCTGAAAAATGTAGCTTAACAAGACTTCCCAGTGCATCTTCTTCTATTTCTACTTGGCTGAGCTCCCGAGCACCCGATATACGTAGTTCTCTCAGTCTAGGAAATGACTGTGCAGAGAAGCATAATGTCTTTCCATCATAAGCATTTAAAAGCCTAAGACGGCATAAATTACGCAGCACCATGAGGCTAGGAAAAGAGTACTCATCAAGTTTGGAGAATGACAGATAATTGAGTGAGGTTTTTAAGGTTCGTCCAGGATGACAGAATCCGAGGCATCTGTTTCTTTTCCAGCTGCCCTCTGAGATGAAGATTACATAGAGTTTCTGGTAAACGGAGTTCTTCCACTGTCAATACTTCATTTTCATTTAATGTTGTAATTGACAAATTGACAAGATTGCTCATATTCAGGAGGGCACTACTCAAGCTTGACGAGTGTTCACTTGTCCATTCGTCAACAGAAAATCTGCGTAACTCCGTCAAAGCTGCAACATCACGTAGGGTCTCTGAGCAGGCTTTAACCTTTTGCAGAGCATGCAGTCCTGTCAAGTTCTTTATTATGCCCCTAGGCACCTTTACTCCATATTGACGCATGAGACGTCGTTCAGCGACAATTACAGTTGCATATAGGTACCTAAGCTTCTTCAGTTTTGCTACATTCTTTGGTAAAGATAGCATACCAGTGCCAACTGCATCCAGTACTTCTAAATTTTGCAATCTTCCAACAGCCTCTGGTAGAGTCTCAATTCCAGTTTTCCGGAGCCCCAAGAAATGCAGATTAAACAAGCTGAACACCTCATTAGGCAGACACTTGATTTCAGTACCTTGTAGATCCAATGTTGACAACAATGTTGTGGATGCAAGGATAGTCCTCAGCAAATCAACAACCGAACTAGTAAAAACATAGATTGCACGAAGATGTGTCGCACCAGATGGATTCAGTGGTACAATATTGGTACTCTTTATTGATAGTCTACGTGTTCCATCTACCGAAAATGTCCCATGGCCCTCATAAACTTTACCAAAACATTCTTTTGCCGCTTTGTCAAGGGCAAGATGGCGGATAACGTCATGCATTCGGCAACATTTCACACGTCCAGATGCATTTTTTCTCACAACTTGTAGTAGGCTTCGGTTTACAAGATCATTCAAGTAACCCTCTGCCACTTGTTCAAGTGTCTTGTTCTCCTTTACCTTGATGAATCCAGAAGTAATCCAGTGCCTAATTGACCTTCGCCTCTTCAGTTCATAATCCTCTGGAAATATTGCACAATGTAAGAAGCAATTCTTTAGTTTATATGGAAGGTCCTCCAAGCTGACTTTTAGAATACTATCGACTCCTTGCATCACATTATTACTAGACTGCAATTCTAGCTCCTTGTACACACTATCCCATTCAGAGTATGTCGGTTGTTTGAAAGACAATAGACGTCCTATGCATGCAATGGCAATAGGCAAGCCTTCACACTTTTGTAAGAACTTTACAGCCAAATCCAATAACTCTAATGGGCACCTTCTATCATCACTATTACCGAAAGTTAATCTGCAGAATAACTCCAAAGAGTGCTTATATCCTAGAGGTTCCATCTCAATTGTGCAATTACTAGTTGCCAATGATGCAACTTCAAGCTTTCTTGATGTCATAACAAATCGTCTGCTACATTTAGTTGGAAAGACTTCCATTATATTAATCCATACATCCTTTTCCCAGACATCATCAAGAACCAAGATATACCTTTTACCTTCAAGATGTTTCCGGATGATCTCAACTAAGCTTCTAATTTCCATGTTAATAGCATCAGTTATGATGCCAAACTCTCTTGCAATCCTCTTCAGCAAGTCTTCAACTTGGTAACTCTGTGACACAGTTACCCAGGCTGCAACATCAAAATCCGGTTTCACAATCTTGTAGACATGGTCAACCAAAGTAGTTTTACCTACATCTAAGGATGAAAACGGAAAGGAAATATCCCGAACCGAACCGCATCGTTTTCTACATTTGACCCGAGCGAATTCGTATTTTCGGACAAAATACGGAATACTAAATTCGAATTCGAAATTCGGAACACCAAATTCGAAATCGGATCGAATTCGGTTTAGGCTTGGTTCGACCGATTTCTACTTTTCTACTTTTAATTCGGAATATCCCGAATTTGAAATTCGGTTCGAACCGAATTTGATCCTTGTTTATGTGAGCGGTGCCCGAGGCCTCGGCCGCTTCTCGCCTTTTGTTGTTGCCGACGTCGCCGGGAAGATGAAAAGCCTCGTCATCATCGCGCCCTTGCCACCGGCGCGCCCGTCCCCCCCGCGCCAGCCTCGCTCCGCGTCTTCCGCGAGGAGGGTCACTCGCAGGGACGGCGGCGAGGGGACGGGATGGGCGCCGCCAGCATGACCCAGGTGGCGAAGCTTCACCGGGCCGCCGCCTTCCTCCTCCTCGCCGTGTCCGGTGACCTCTACATACAACGCTGCTCCCTCGTCGACGTGTCCGTCGGCGTGGCGCGCGTCATCGGCACCGTGCTTCTTGCCCGCTTCACCTTCACCCGAAAGGCACGTAATGCCGCCGGCGCAGGTGGCCACGCTGCCCCTGCTTCTGCCGTGGACACGCGGCGCGTCGGCGGCAAGCTGACGAGGCTGGCGCCGTACCTGGCCGCCGTCTCCTTCGCCCTCCTCTGCTGCCTCGTCCTCACCACGTATGCGCCGCTCAAGAGCGGGCCCGATGGCGCCAAGTACCCATGACCATGCTCTGCTGTCTGCTCGATTGATGTCTGCGCGCCGGCGCTGCCCCGCAACGGGAACCGCAAGGCGGCTGTCGATGTTCCGTGGTGGCCACTGGCCAGTACTAGTACAAAATAGGAGTACAGTCTACAGAGGTGGGGAGAGAAAAAAATTAAGAACTTGCATGGCATGTGTCTATGTGAGCATGTTGGGACATTTTGGACGGCACTTGTTTAATGTTATGTATTTGAACTAGATTATGCACTTGTTAGTTGTGAACTTGTCATGTATTTGGTCGTGCACTTGTTTAATGCTATGCACCGTGGGTCGGTATTTCGTATTGAATTTTCGCATACCGACCGTGTTCGACATAATTCCGCTCGAATTGGTTCGTTTCCAAAATTCTAGATATTCCGTAAGTTCGTGTTCGTTTTCGTGTCCGGTTTGTCTGCTTTCGTTTTCACTTTCGCTTTCGTATTTCAAATGTAAAAGTAGAAAACGGTTGATGAGTTTTTCGACCGAGTTCTTCTCTTCTAGATCACCTATTAGCCACTGCTTGAGCTTGGTTGCATTATCTTCAATACCCACTACATCATCTTCCCTTGCAAAACACAAATTTTGATTGGTGGGTCTAGCATGATGATCACCCCTCCCAGCCTGTCCCTGCATTCCTGGGATGACATAACGTGCCCTCCTCTTTGCAGCTTCTTCAAGCTCGACATTGATATCACGGAGCTTATGAGCTAGACGGTGCCAAACCTTAACATGCTTGATCCTCTTCTTCATCTTGGCTGCAAATCCTCCATGCTTGTCGTCCTCAAGCTTGTACATGAACTCATCGACAACATCCTCGATCTGGAAAGATAGTTCCCGGATCTTGTTGATGAAGATGCCAGTGGTCTCGTCGGTATCCTTGAACTTCTCTGACTCATGCAAGTAGGCCTTCATGCTCACTAGCTCCTCCTTGGCTTTGTGGATCTCGCCAAAGAGACCCTTGAGAGCAGAAGCTTCCTTGCCAAGCAGGGATGCACCATAGGCTGCTGCCTGGTTCGCCAAGGCCACAGCGAGCTTGCCGATGAGCACTCCCACAACAGCCTCTGCCATGGTACTTGCGTGCGCTTGCTTCAGTGTTCAGTGTCACTAGAGTAAGCTCGTGACCTCCAAACCTAAATCTCACAAGCCAGTCCAACAATCAGAGGTGGTGTTTTCAATGTCAGCAATCTGAACCTTGGAACCAAAATTGAACAAAATGTGAACTGACGAGATCTGATCTTATACCTGAAAATGGGGAAGCTAGAAAACAAGCACGCGCTGCAGATCTGGGCTTCCGGCCATACTGAGGCCACTGTCAACTTCGGCGGAGTAGGAGATCTGGAGACTGGAGTTGCATCCTGTAAGGACTAAGGAACCATGCTACAAGGCCCTAGAACAGCGACCACGATTCTACGAGTCAATGGCAAACAAGAAGTGGTTGTGGGCTTGAGCCTTTGTCTTCGTTGAAGGGAGGACGAAGCTGATTGTGTACCTGGACAACCATGCTACCAGCTGCTGAGAAAGGAGTGAGAAAAAGGGGAAAGATTTGTTTAATTGTGGGAGCAGGTGACCAGAATAAGTCTATACTTTACTAGACATTGGCTAGCGGCTTGGGGAGATGTATGTAACGGTAGAGTCGCCTATTTCAGTACATATTGGAATTGGAGTCCATACCATTGGACACATGAACGCGAGCAGTTCTAGCATGTACGAGCATGGTCGTAAATCTGCATCACAGATAGAGAGATGTGGGGGCATTGCGGAAAGTAGACATGGATGGAAAATCGCTATGCTTTTTAATATTAATATAAATATAGATAGATATAGATATATGAATTATAGATATAGATATACCACGGGTCATGAATTCGGGGCACATATAATTAAGATAGAAAGAGTTGCGAGGATATTGTAGGAAGTTAAAAAAAAGACAAACGGATGAATTACTTTGCTCTTCTATACCTAATAATAAAGTGGTAAAATTTCTGCCACAATTTTTTCGTCCAATTCCGATCTCTACTTGGATTCTGATTTCTTGTCCGGTAATCCTCTTTTCAAAGTGTTGTCCAGTTTGGATCTAATATCCTACAACTAAAAAGAACAAAGTGTGGATATTTTTTTGTGCGACAATTGTTTTGGTTCGTCCGTTTGCCCACGCCTGTGATCCCATGACATCTACTTGATTGAATATTGTCTGTCATGTGATAGAGAAATCACTGCAAAATAGAAAGTAGAAAATTATTGTGCTATCCATATACACATTGCATGTTTACATGCACCAGCATATATGGCAACGAGCAAAAGGAAAAAGAATTAACACAAAAGGAAAGAGAATTAACACAAAAGAACCTCTTTGCATTTCTGAGAACCTTGCCAAATTTGTCTATATTTAATTACTTCCCCTCTTTGCATCTGCAAAAGGGACAGCTTTTTCCTACTTTCATTTGGTTTCACGCTCACGTGTTCCATCGTCCTCGCTTGCTGTTTCTTGCGTGCGACATTTGTTTTGGTTCATCCGTCTGCCCACGCCTGCGATCCCATGACATCTCCTTGATTGAATATTGCCTGTCATGTGATAGAGGAATCATGATAAAATAGGAAGTAGAAAATTATTGTGCTATCTATATACACATTGCATGTTTGCATGCACCAGCATATATGGCAATGAGCAAAAGGAAAGAGAATTAACACAAAAGTAAGAGAATTAAGACAAAAGGAACCTCTTTATATTTCTGAGAATCTTGCCAAAACTGCCTCTATTTAATTACTTTATCTCTTTGCATTTGTGAAAGGTCCTAATGGCTAGAGGGGGGTGAATAGCCTAATAAAATTCTACAACAACACTTAACAAAATGTGTTAGACAATTTTACGGCGAAGCGAGTGTTGCGCTCCGCCGGGGAAAGGTCAAGAACCCCTCACAATCATCACGATCGGAGTCGGAGACAATCACCTCCTCCACTCAACGATCCTTGCTGCTCCAAGCCGTCTAGGTGGCGGCAACCACCAAGAGTAACAAGCGAAATCCACAGCGAAACACAATCACCAAGTGCCTCTAGATGCAATCACTCAAGCAATGCACTTAGATTCACTCCCAATCTCACTATGATGATGAATCAATGATCTAGATGAGTGGGAGGGCTTTGTCTAAGCTCACAAGTATGCTATGTCAATAAAAATGGTCAAGAGAGTGAGCTTGAGCCGGCCATGGGGCTTAAATAGAAGCCCCCATGAAATAGAGCCGTTGTACCTCTTCACTGGGCACAACGCGGGGTGACCGGACGCTCCGGTCTGATCGATCGGACGCTGGCCCTCAGCGTCCGGTCACGTGATTCACGCCACGTGTCCCCTGCTTCAAATGTTGTTCGTCAGATTTCAACGGTCATCTACTGACCGGACGCGTCAGTTAGAAAGTGACCGGACGCTGGACTTCAGCGTCCGGTCGTTTCCAGTAAGCTCCCCGAGGCGTATTTCTTCGACCGGACGCGTCCGGTCCACTTTGACCGGACACAGACCAGCGTCCGGTGCTCAACCCTAGCCACTGTGCCGTTTGACATCACGACCGGACGCAACCTTTCAGCGTCCGGTCGCTGAGTGACCCAGCGTCCGGTGCAATACCCTCGACACTGCGCAGACCCGTTTGTTTGACCGGACACACGCAGCCAGGGTCCGGTGCTTTTAGACCCAGCGTCCGGTCAGAAGACCGAAGCCAGCGTCTTCGCGATCAACTTGTTTTCACTTCTAACTTCTTCACCCTTGTTCCAATGTGCCAACCACAAGAATTTGCATCCGGTGCAATAGAAAATAGGCATTCCATTTTCCCGAAAGCGCCGAATCCACCTCAACCCTGCAAACATCACCTCCTTTGTAAATGTGCCAACACCACCAAGTGTATTACCTTGTGCACAAGTGTTAGCATATTTTCACAAACATTTTTAAGGGGTTTATCACTCCACTAGATTCTAAACGCATATGCAATGAGTTAGAGCATCTAGTGGCACTTTGATAACCGCATTTCGATAATAGTTTCATCCCTCTTAATAGTACGACTATCAATCCTAAATGTGATCACACTCTCTAAGTGTCTTGATCACCAAAATAAAATAGCTCTTACAAATTATACCTTTGCCTTGAGGCTTTTTGTTTTTCTCTTTCTTCTTTCCAAGTCGAAGCACTTGATCATCACCATGCCATCATCTTTATCATGCTATGATCTTCATTTGATTCACCACTTGGAGTGTGCTACCTATCTCATGATCACTTGATAAACTAGGTTAACACTTAGGGTTTCATCAATTCACCAAAACCAAACTAGAGCTTTCAATTTGCAAAAGGGATAGCTTTTTCCTCCTGTCATTTAGTTTCACGCTCACGTGTTCCATCGCCCTCGCTTGCTGTTTCTTGCGTGAACCATAGTTGATGTCATCTGTCTTTCATGGCCCAGCCTCTCAATCCTAAGAGAAGGTCCCTACCTCTCTCTGACTGGAGATCCGGCCTGCTAGAGGATCTTCTCGAGTCCATCGGGTAGCGTCTCACGTCAGGCCACGACACGGCGTCCTTCCGATCCACTTGCTCCCCATGGCGCGTCGCCATCCCGTTTGCGACCCTCGGGGCACTCCTGCTGCTCCCGTTCGACCCCGACTCGGACCACATCGGCTTCTATTGCGTTCCGGAGAAGAAGGTCTTGTCCAAGATGTTGCCCGACGTGCGCGGCAAGGTGGCATGCGCCTCCTCGTGTGGGTGGCTGGCGCTCATGGATGAGGCGACATCCGTGACGTTGCTGAATCCATTCGCCGATGCCCGTGCCCCCATGTTGAGCTCCCGCCAGCAGGCGAACACGTCGCGGCGACGTCCTCATCGGAACGTGTGTCTAGGGTCCACGGCCGGTGGGTCCTCCATCCCACCAACGGCTACGGGGACACGGATGCCGTAGAAAGAGCCATCAAGGTAGAAGACATGTGGGACGTGTTCTTCCGTGAGATCGTGCTCTCGGCGCCGCCTGACGCCGCCGGCCGCGAGTGCGTGGGCATGGCCATGCTTGGGTGCTCCACGGAGGTCGCGTTTTGCCGGGTTGGAGTCGACAGCGCATGGACGCTGCTCGACACCAAACTGGAGTTCTCCGTGGGGTCCATCGTCCACTGCCAAGACAAGTTCTTGGCGATCGACTGTACTGGAGAAATCTTCGTCTGCAGCAGCAACGCCGCCGGTGCTACTCCAACCGTGATACTGCTGCCATCGCTGTCGCCACCTGCGGGACTCTGCCACCGCAGCTACCTAGAATCAAACGATGAGCTGCACATTGTGGGTGCCATGGTGAGCACGTTCCACGAGACACAGAGCTTCACCTACAGCAGCGCGATCTACAAGTGCAACATCCACGACCGTACGCCGGAGTGGTCCAGGGTGAGGGACATCGGTGATCAGACACTGTTCGTGTCTAAACATTTCAATGAAAAGCTTTAGTGGAACAAGTGTATCCAAGTATAAGAAGAGCAAAATCTACATGTCTGAGCCATTGTATGGGGATCCATACGACTTGGTCCATCGACTGGAGAGCGTTGATATTGCTACCGGCGCATCCAAAGTGAAGCCCGTCCAGAAAAAGATGTAGGGTTCCGAGGCTCTAGGTTGGATTCGACCCAATCTCTGGAAGCTCTAGAGTTTATGAGCCTGCGACGCCGCGTACTCCGTGACTGTGCTAAATTCATAAACTTTGTTTTTTAGATTAAATGTCACTTTAACGTTGGTATTTAATTTAACAGTATTGTTATCTTATCGTGCGATCCGTGTGTTTTTAGTATAAATTGTTAGTTATCCCGTAGCAACACACGAGCACGCTACCTAGTCTTTAATAATTTTTCTTTCCAATAATTTTTCTTTCCTTGGTTTGTGTCCCCACCTCGAACCTGATGGACACCATATAAGAATCCAATAGAAGAAATCGAATACAATACAATGACTTAATAAATAAATACGGATCCAATAGGAGAAATCAAATACAATACAACGACTCAACAAATAAATAAACTAAATACTAATTGGGTTAAATTGAACACCAATTAAATCAAATATG